GGGGTCGAAAGTGACCCGGCTGGAGGAGGATTTAAATTCCACTAAACGAACCGGTTTTATTCAAGGGAAAAATGATTTAAATAATTACAAAATCGATCGATCCAGCAGAGATATTCGATGGACACTGTTTTGTAACGAAGGAAAAGAATTTGTGTTCTTAATACTTAGCCAACCGCGCGCGCAAAGCATAACCTTCAAACTGGGGAGATCTCCCCATTCGGTTGGCTAAGTGTTAAGATTCTTTACGAAAAAGAAGCGTTAATGCTTCCACGAACATCTTCGAATTTTCAAGGCGTCTCGATGACCGGTTCGAAAGAAGTCGGCCAACGAAGGGCACTCGACGAGTGAAGGAAAAAAAAAACTGGTTACGAAAAAGTGGCACGAGGCGGCGGCAGCAGCAGCCGTTTAACAAGATACAGAGGCGCGACACGTCGGACATTGTTGGTTCTTGATCTGGATTATCGACTCACCGTCGTTGAAGATCGCTTCATTATCTGATACCCTGAGAAACACTTCGACCTCACGCATAAGAAACTCCTGATAAGATTATCAGCCGAGGGAGAATGTGGGAATCGCGTGTAAGGTATGCTAGCTACGAAAGAAAAACGGTTGGAAAAAAAATCGATGGGAATTATGGGAAATGTGACAAATGCTTGGAACTGTGTGTAATTCTATGAGAGAGAGAGAGAGAGAGAGAGAGAGAGAGAGAGAGAGAGAGAGAGAGAAGAGAGAGAGAGATGATCGATAAAAGCAACCGTAACGGAACGAAAAAGAGAACTGAACCAGGCGAAAGCGACTAATATCGAATAGACTGTAAAATGGTAAATTAAGTGTCTTTATGTTCTGGATTTTTTCCCCCCCAGAAATAATTAAATACACTTTTTAAATCTTTAACAATGTTATCTGCACGGCAATCGAGACTTTCTTTCGATTACAATCCGATAACTTTCTTATTGTTTTATTAAATCTTCCCTGTACTATACAGTCTATTCACCGCAGAGAACAGCTGAACGGTTTACCGGGGCGAATAGAAAGTTTCCGCCTAAATGAAAAGAAAATTCCGTTGTTCGGGAGTTGTAATTAGGAGTTCCATTTTGCTGCGTTTACCGGCGTGCTTATTAGTCACACTAGAAAAGTAATTACTTAAAAGAAAACAAAAAATGGGAACGGTATAATTTCTCGACGTTTTCTCTTCTGTCACGACCGGTTTCTTTTTCAAGCATTGAAACCCTAGGTGTAAAAATAAAAACGGTTAAATACGGAAAAACTATAGGAATCTATTTATGCAAATCAAAAATACTGTCGCGTGTGCACAAACATGTACGTAACTGCTTACTTCGTGGGTAATGTTTCTAAATGTAAAATATGCGGTAACACTTGTGATTTGCCCTGCATGGAAAAATAATCAGTCACATTCGTTACGTAACACGTACAATCAGCACGTATAATATTGAGAATCACAGTATTGAACGTGCTCAGTTGCTTCAAAAATATTCAATTTTTTTCGGCTCGCTGTTACCCAGGCTATATTTATCAGTTGCATTAATGGAATATTTTAATTATTTATTCGAAATAGTTTTACGTCTGAACCGCGCGAAAAAAGCGGTTAGAGAAGATACGTATATTAATTGCAAACTTTAGAAGAAATTATACATTTATAATATTATCTGGGGTCTTAACCTCCGACTACGTAAGTAGGAAGTGATGGCGAAGTAGAAATTGAATTATTAAAGTATATAGGAATTATTTTAATTTTTAAAGTGATAGTGAGGTGACTGCTTGCAGATTTTCATTAATTAATTCTTCACAGTTAATGTGTAAGACTATGGTTTTGATTACTAATAACGTAAGTCACAGGATAGTTTAGTGATTTAAACCGGAAGGAGTAAAATGTACAGAAATAATTGCAGACTTTGTTTCAGCTTTCATAGGGCTTTCCCTCCCGGTCGTCCAGTCATGTGAATCGTTCGCCTTTTGTCCGAGCAGCGGGATGATTCACCGTTTGTTCTGTTTGCAACTCATTTTTCTTCGCCTCTTACCTCACCGTCATGTAATCGAGGATCGTAACGCTGCAGACCCGAGAAGACTGCATTAAAAACTCGAGGATTATATTCAGAAAGACTTTAAAATTTTGGATCGAATGAGGGATAAACATCGCGACCAATACTTATGTAAAGCGTGAAATAAATCGGTCCAATACTGCGCATTTTTTTTTTTTCGTTACGTCATTTCTCGTAGGAACATCTCGCGGTGCGGTGATTTAGTGAACTAAAATTCGTCACGTATGGTTCGCTCTCTCTTTCTATGTGACGACAACGACGCGACATGAAACCCCTACGGCCCCTACACACCACCATTCAAGTTCGTTGCTTATTGGACGTGGACTATTTTTAGCGTCGAAACGCGCGACTACTGTCAAGCCTGTGTTGTGATAAATGCCCTTCCTTCCGGGGAACCACTACAGTTTACGTGTGTGCACTGTATTCCGAGTAAGCGTTATCTTTGCACCCGTGTCGTGTGAGAAAAAAAATGTTAATTTCAAATGTACTAGGAATAAACATCGAGACGTATGCAAGACCGATTAATAAATTTCGAATAAAAGCAGAATGTTATAAACATCATGAATACAGTTCTGTCACGAAGTACATTTTTACGCGTAATGTAAAAAAAAATGAAACCCATTGTTGAGCTATATTTGTATTACCTTGTAATAATTTTCGTATTATGTATCACGATTATTCTTTGCTTAACACGATTCGCGGAGATTAAATATCAGATAACAACTAGGATTTACGGACTATCAAAATTCCGAGAGTTTATTGGAACTGATTATGCTGTTAAGGTAACATTCCTAAATAATTGTGTCACTATTGTTTGTGTATTAAAATCAAAGAAACATTTTGTTACGGAAAAAAATTAAAATACGAAGACAAATGATAAGTGTACATTATTTTCATTGAAATAATATACCGTGATAAAAAAGACCTTGGTTTCTCATTAACATAGCGGATGGTTAACGACAATAGCCGTTCGACTGCGACAAAAAATCTTTTCCCATCCTATTGAGCGTTTGAAATATTTATTTATAAGATCGTAGTCTCAATGAACATTGTTTACGTAGGACTATATTCGTCGGACGATATTGTGGACAGCCTGTGGCTGCGTTTCAGCGTCTTCAGGATGTTATATACAAAGCGCCGGCGTCCCTTTTGCTATCTCTAAGGGTGTCAGTTTTCTTCGAACACATGGGTAGTCACGTTTCGAATTATAAGAGGGGTTCCCTGCGGCGCGACTTTCATCTGTGTGTGCAAAACACCGATGAGACCCATTTGCCTTTTCTTTCAATCCCTGTTCTATATTTATTCGTTTCGAGAGTGTGACGTCTCAGTTTTACTCTTATCGGTTTAAAGGAAATAAATAACGTGGTGTCAAGGTACAGCGAGGGGACGAGGGACAGGACTGCCGAGAAGTCGGATGGTATTAAAGGGATTACACCTCTCGAGGACACAGAGTGACTAGAATTATTTTTGGCTAATTCTTAAAATGTAAATTTCAGTAGATGATTCGGTATTTTTTTGGAGAAAAATAGTTATTTTGCTAGATATTTTAAATAATCTGTAACATAATTTGTAATATTGAAGAAATAGTTACTAGTGCTCCGAAAATTGGAGCAATAAACTCATATGATCCTCGGTAGTATAGTGGTCAGTATCCCCGCCTGTCACGCGGGAGACCGGGGTTCGATTCCCCGCCGGGGAGGATTTTTTATTGTTATTTTCTTTGAATTTTACTTGTAATTCTGTACCATATTTAATAAAAATAAATTTTTTTTTATTTATTTATGAATGTTTAAAAATTGTATAATACGTTTATTACAGATCACATCGATTGGTGCCTCTCTAATTGCAATTGAGTAACATTTATATGGTAAATTAAACGTTACGAGAAGTAAAAAAAAAAATAATCCAACATTTTAATGGTTTCTTAGATTATTTCAAGTACGTACAGTTAATGGGTTCTATGGCAGGAAATGGTTCGTGAGAGTAAAAGTCTATTACGCCCTTTCTCCTGTATGATTTTTACACATTCCGGAGATCGTGTACCAGTGATTCGGAGAAAGAGAGTGACCGTGACTGGCCGAGTTCTGTTTGCCCTTCAGTCATTTCCCGCGAAATCGCGGAGGCTCTAATAGGGCCTTTCAAAAAAGCGCGGCATGTAGTATCCAAACGCGAAATAAATTTAGGTTAAGGCCTCGTCGCGATTGAGTGCCCTCGTGTTTCTCAAAAGTAATAAATAAAATCCAGTCAAGGCTGCATCGGTATACTTTCCATTAATTTTTATGGGGCTATAACGATAAGAATATGAAACCTCTCAAGAGTTATTTAAAAGAAAAAAAAACCAGCAGAGAATGAAATGTACGGTCAGATTTCGTATAACGAATAAAAAACCATAAATGATGGTTAAATATTTCGTGATTCTTAATCTTATATGCACTTATTATCGTTTTTAAATGGTTCGTCATTCGAAATACGTAATTATTAAGTTACATCCATTCTGACTGATTTTATATACTGCTAGATAACATTTTTAAATAAACTCGTTTATGCACCAGTGACTGCTTAATGATTATTCGCGGTTATGTAATCAATCGTCTAAAACGATTATAAACCTGTCTGTCGCACGCAACGGTAGAGACGATGCATTGCACGCGTGCAATCTTAAGGCATCCACGAAACATGCCCATGAACATGAAGACCACACGAAGCGTTACGATAGGATTCTAACCCATATATTACCGAATTAGTGACAAAATAATACAGGAATATTTTCGAAAATTCGAACCACACAACTATTTTGGTAACACAGAAAACTCAACAAAATTTACTGTCTCAATTCAAACAAAACCAGAAACATATCCTTCGATTCTTCCTAGCAAACGGTAAAAATTCAAACGCAATGCTAAGCGTACTCTCCACCTAAAAAATAGATCATCCACTAACCTTGATAATTTTGTATTTCTTTTTGGTAGCCTGATTCAGGTCCTCGTGCACTTTGTCCAGCAGCCAAAGCAAGAATTCCTGAGCGTCGT